CAACTAGTCACTACACCCGAAAAATCATACCCAACGATCTGCGGCCTGTAAAAACAGTATTAGCTTCGAATCAAGCATCATATCTACCAAAAAACCCACCAAGTGTCTTTAATTATCAACTTCATCGCGCCTTGTCGCCGTTTGTAGTCGATCTTCAATACAATCAAAAGTTATTGATCAAAATTTCGCTTCACAAGTTCCACTAAACTTTGTCCGTTAATAACACGTACGGGGTTTAGCGCGGCTGCATGCACTTTAACCACGACGTCTTTTGGATCAACCAGCTTCGGATCCGGTTGGGTGCCCATTTCCATGACGCTGGGACTTCCATGTCTTTAGATGGCAAATTATTTATTAGCATTATTCAGTCGAATAAAGAGGAGGTGACGCACTTGGTGTAAAACCACGATTTCATTGCAAATTTTCTCTGATTTCTGTGATCGGTCTTTGAGTTATTTAATGGATCCTCGAATTTGACGAAATCTCAAATAGGGTCCTAAGGAGTGAAGTTCAGTGTTTGCTCTTGTCTGAGCTTGGAGCAGAGGTTACAAAACCAGAAATGAGCAACTTCTCATTTCTTCGTCATAAAGCCATCGTAATTACGTCACGTTGCCGTAATCATGTTTGGTAAATTCAACAAAGAAAAACCAGGGCTAGGTCCTTTGGGTAAACCTAGGTAAAGTGTACCCATTTAGACTAGGTCTTTTTGTGGTATTTTCAATCTCGCGTAAGGCTTTTACGAGCTCCAACCGCATCTGTATGGTGGAGATACATTCGTCTAAAAGACTTGTTATTCTGAGTGTAGTTACGCGGCCAGACCGTACGTGGAATATGTATATGAAGCTTGGCTACATTGTTGAACCTTAGCTGGAATATCAGTAGTATATGCGCAAAAGCTGCACCAACACTCCACTCTGCAGGGTACATACCCTATTACAGTATACAGAAACAGTACTCTGCTTTCCCAGCAAATCGAGCTAGATTTCAGCACTTTTACGGTATGCGCACACATTTTGTCTATAAAGTATAAGAGTAACGAAGTAAGTGTAAATAGCTTTATCCGTCAGGATCCGAATGACGCTCGTAACCCGTCAAGTGTTTTATCGTAGACGTTTTCTGACTCATAAAGATCGACGTTAAGATCAACAGACACCAAGAAGGCAAGCAAAAATTGAGCTACTTCATCAGTCATCAGATTAGGCAATCCTAGCAACTATGTGATTATGTATACTTATTATAAGGTCCAGATGTTATTTGTAAGCTCACTTTTATGTTGATTAATCAATGTGCATGACAGCAAAGATTAGTAAACTCGATCGGTCATTCTCGTCACCTTTCATAATATCTACGTCAGTAGGCCGATCGTGCACAGCAATTGCTTCTTTCTCTTGGACTAGAAGACGAAGAACTCAGGGGATGAGAGTGTAAGTATTGGACTCGAAAAAAAAATCGATTTGTAATGTTCTTTATTCGCAATTTGGTAAGGCTTTTAATTACTAATTACTAGTGATGGTGATGACCGGAAACCTTCTCGAAGAGATATGCCTTATAAGAGTTTAGTTCAATGAACATTTAAGTGAATTAATTATTGAAGCTCTGCAGCAAAATATTCATTTTAACACATCAAATTGGTGCTAAAAGTCCAAATGCTAAGAACAACCCTCTTCGGCCCGACAACCCCCTTACGGCGAGCGACTGCGCGCGGTTTTGCGAATACTAAGTTCAGCTCGCGATTAACCAATGGAATCCAGCCAGTGATGCGCTCTTCACTGCTGTCTAAACAACAAACTTTGGTGAAGCAGCAAGTGCGAAACCAATACTATTATCGCTCTAGCATTCGACGCGAAAGCCGCGCCGTGTCAGGCGACGTGGTTGTGATCGGTCTTATCTCTGTGAATGTTGCTGTCACTATTGCCTGGATGCGAGCACATGTACCTGCACCAATACACCGCGCGCAGCAGCTACGTAGCTTTCAGCCGTCCATGAGGACGATGCTGACGCACTTTACGACGTCTACACAACATCTACAGGATGGACGATACTATACGTTACTAACCGCCATGTTTAGCCAAGCAACACTGGGTCATTTGGGCGCAAATATGCTAGGATTGTACTTCTTCGGGCGGCAAATATGTGACGTTTTGGGTCACAGGAAGTTTCTTGGACTATATCTTGCAAGCGGCGTGCTTTCATCCGCTGCAGCGGTATACCAGCAGCATCTATCGGGACGACTAACCTATAATTTGGGTGCAAGTGGTGCTGTGAACGCAATTACGGCAATGAGCATCCTGCTCTTCCCGCACGGCACACTCCTGATCTTTGGTATTGTGCCAATGCCAGCGTGGCTCGGCGGTTCGCTTTTTATCTTCAAGGACGCATACTCATTTTTGACAGACAGACAGGATGGCATTGGACATGTGGCCCATTTAAGTGGTGCGGCCATTGGTGGGGCGTATTACTATTATTTGCGTCGCCAAAGATTTCGACGCTTCTAGAGGAAGGAAAAAAGATTTAATAAATAATTGACTTGGAGAAAAAAAACGTTAAAAAACAAACAAGTAGTTAACTTGAGTATTTCTGCGAGAATTTATCCAAATTGATTTCGGATATGTAAAACACATTATCTTCATTTTGTTCGTTTAAACGTCATTCCTCGTTCATGCAAAAAACTCGCAGCAAGTACGTCTGCTTCCTCATATTGACACTCATGAAATAAAAAAAATAGATAAATCATCCTCATTATGGGTCATACCATGCTGTTCATTCTTTATGTGCTATGTGTGTCCTAAAGCAGCTCAAACCCATCGGGATTCTACAATTTGCACGGAGTCTCTGTGCTCTGGCATGGCTGGCTTAAGCGGCTTGGAAGATTCAGTAAACGCTGGCGACGGCGCTACTTTATTTTTGTGTCTACATCCAACGGTACAAAGGAGCTGCGCCATTACGATACGTTCAAGGACGTCAATACGCTGCTCATGTCCACACCCAAGGGTGTCATCTCAATGACAGACGCTACAGGCATCTGCTGTTTTACATCAGCAGCTACGGCTGGCAAGAAGCTGATAAAATTTGTGCGTTTAAATTTCTGATGCTAAGATATAATATTTTATCGAGTGGTGAACTAATTTAAAATGTGTTTTACAAATAGAATCGTTCTGATACTACCGACTCAAGACCAGGCGCATACGACCAAAAATTTGCTGTTTTGACGCCACTTGTACGCTCAATATCTTCTGATCTTAGATTTTGACTTGAACTGACTTCAATGTTTGAAAAGCACGTGAATTTGTTAGCATTTCACAATGGCCGTGAATGGAATGGGTATGTATGTATCCAAGTCGTAGCTTTATAATATGGTTAAATTCACAAGAGTTTAAAATTGCGCAGATCAAGTGAATCTCAGCAAGGATTGTCGCTGCTAGCGTCTCTCTCTGCGTTTTATCCAGCGGTTGATGTTCTTCATTCCGGATGGATGACGAAGCGACGAGAGCGCAATGTGCACAGCCCAAAGAGCATAATGACATATTGGAAGCGGCATTTCTTCATGTTCTTGACATCTGGTGACTTGTTGTACTTTCGAGATGATACATTAAGTGAATTGCAAGGCCGTGTCGACGTTCGACATGCTCCGACAGTACGCGTGACGGGAGAGCAGCTTATAGAAGAGAGAAAGAAAGATGGTGGCATGTTTAAGTTTGGTAAGATGCCAGCATTTGAACGCGAGACGTGTCTTATTTGGATTGCCACTCCTCCATCCAAGATGTTTGTCTTGAAACTGGAGGATGATCATGAAGATTCAGGTAGTAGTCCTGGCATTAGTGGGAAAGCAGGTCTTGGATCTTCAGGTGTGGGAATGACGTCAAGAAAAGCCGAGCTAACTCCAAGCTCTAAAAAATGGCTTCATTTACTTTTACAAGGACATGCAGAAACAAAGTATACACAGCTCGAAAAGTGCATTGCGACAGGCAAATATGGCCTAACGACAGAGGTGAGTGAACCATCGTGTAATAAAGGCTGATATCTTTGCTGATTAATGGCAATTTTATGGTATTGATTAGATTATATCTGCCGTACGAGCAGGAATTCCGGACGAATTGCGTGGACAACTCTGGAACGGATTTTCTGGTGCTCTCGAGCTTCAACGTCGTGTAGAGCTCAAACACGCGATTCGTAGTGCGTCGAAAAATCCGAACGCTTTCCGCGTGCCTCTTCGTGAAAGTTCTGCCATAAACAATTCTAGATCTTCTGCTTCATCGAATTATGCTATTTATGAAATGTGTTCGGCTGCCATTGACGCAGCGATGATTGAATTGCCAGAAAACGAAATGCTTTTCACACGATTGTGCGCATTAGCGCTTCACGAAAGTTGTAACGAGCTAATGACCTTACGTTCGAGCGATTTTCAACCTTTATCAGATCGCTTTCGCCACGCTGCGTCGTTCGTGTCCGATCAATACAGTGAAGACCGTGGATCGTTCTTTGATTTTGAGCGCGACTCGATAGACGATGACGTAGGAGAGGTCGAGGAGCTGAAAAATGGCAACAGTCCTTTGAGTGATCCTCCATCTGCTCGAAATACGCTCAAGCAGCTTGAGAAGGGTAAAATGGGAAATTACGTCTATCCAAGTGATTATCCAGCTGCAGATTGGGAGCTGACATCACGGCGTCGGTTGTTAATTGCTAGCTCACGTTACAAGTACGTGATTTGATGAAATCTTGGATAATTGAGGTCTAACTTTAATATTTTTTGGGGTTTTGAAAAGTCCGTACTCGCATCCATTTCCCTGGCGAGTATCTTGTTTACTGCTGGCATACGTCGAAGAAGAAGGCGCATTCTGGATGATTAACAGGTACAATCTTGTTTGTGATAGATTTGAAAAATTGTGCGTAATTTCTTACGAGTTGTGTTACCAATGGGACAAGCATTATCGAATCACTTCTTCCGGGATACTTTCACGGCCACCGACCAGCTTTACAAGTTGATGTGGCAGCATTTACTGCACTATTAGAAGATCGCCTGCCGACTCTTTCCGCTCACTTGGCAACTTTGAAGTTTCCTCTTGGTCGGCTGGTCGAACGATGGTTTTTAAGCCTTTTTACCGCATCGCTTGTCCCGCTTCCGACGGTATGAGCTTGTTTTATAAGTTCCCTTCAACTTGCTAAGCGATGTCACACGATCAGGTGCTGCGGATATGGGACGCGTTCTTTATTCGTGGCGTACTAGTGTTTTACGGAGTCGGGATTGCGTTACTATTTCGAGCGGAAGAAACCCTCTATCATGCCAAATCCGCTACTGAAGTCGAGGAATACCTGAGAGCTAGCGAACGAAGCTGTATAGATGCTGATGCAGTCTTCTCCGTTGTTTTTAAGGATGATCTTACTATTCCTTGTGTGTCTTGCTTCTTTTGATTTGTGAAATAGACAGCTTAATAGTGTGGTTTGTTACAGGGCTAACGGATGAGCAATTGGAAAAATTGAGGTCAATACAGCGTCAACGCATGATTGAGCAGATATCGCATAAAGTGGGGCATTTCAAAGACAAGCTGAGCGTTCTTAAGCTCGCACAAGACTTTGATTTGCGCTGCCAAGCAGTTGCGAGAAAGTTTATAAGTGACGGTGAAGGCATAGTGACGACCGTGCCGCTTGACTCGGTTTGTCCGACAGCAAACGAAGAAAAATACGACCTCTTCGGACTGGATGACGATCTGAAGATCCTTCACAATGAATCGGACTGTGACACGCTCGAAAATTCTTTCCAAACTACTTTGCGCCTGCTGCTTGAACAAGTGAGCGAGTTGTCTACTGCGGCGCGAGCACTCGCAGCCGAGCTGGGTCAGCGACAAGCAAAGTGGTTGGCTGCATCTAGCCAACTCGCAGCATGCCCGCTGGCTCGACTACCAACACCTGAATCCCACAGTTGGCTTTCTCAGGTTAAAGAAGGCAAAATTTCCGGTGCAGGACAAGATATGTTCGTAGAATTTACTTCTAGTAGTAGTAAAGTTCCATTGGCTTTTCGCGTTATCGAAGCCTCCGGCATGATGTTTGACAACAGTGAGACCCGAATTACTCACAAAGAAGCTGCAGATAGTGAAAGGTATGGCCAGATTGCTGATCAACGGAGCTGCTTGTTGACGGAGAGGGATGATCTTGAGCTCTCTGATCATAATCTCGCAAATATGTTTCTGTATACGTTAGTGTCATCGCTTAAGGCACTAGGTGCTGTTCGGCTGGACTGTCTTGGCGTGACCTATCGGTTGAAATGGCATAGTGGGTCATGGCTAGAATCTGCGGTCGAATATCCTTCCATCTCTACGTTTGAGGGAAGAGAGGAGACAACGAGAACAATTAGCAGCACATCAAATTCGCGGCGATCAGTCAGATCGACTAGTATGTCTCAGTCTTCAAATCCCGCAAACTCGTCAAATCGACGTCCACGTGCGATGGATGACTCGGCCTTGTTTGGCCGCAAACGTGGAAATTCTGGTGCAACAATACACAAACGAGGGGGGCCCACAAATAATTACTATTCAAACAAGTCACCAACCCAACTACGACCGACTTTATCGTCCGGCGATTTCTTCGTGTCTGAACATACGACTGGCGGTGTAGGTACCAACTTGTACAACGACCCAATTATTGAAGATCAGCCTGCTCCGTCGTCGCCCGCATGTATCCAGCATTCTGCAAAGACAGGCGAGGGTTATCCCTTTATGCCGCCGTCGCCACCTCCACAAGACTGCACTGAGTTTAACTTTACTCGCAGTCCTTGTCTCCGCGAAGCATCTTCAGCATCAAACAAAGCTTTTTTGACAGCACTTCGCATGCAACATGAAGAAGGTGAACGAGAGTTTCGAGAGTCTCATAAACGACTCCTGAATGGACTTAACAAATTTGTGCGGCTCGAGTATCGCGACTACGACTGGGCACTGCGTGAGCGTGCTTTAACCATGGAACGCGAGCTGCAACAGGAATTTCAAGAAATCGAAGCCGAAGTCTGTGGAGCCAGGTGGCTTCACTAGGAATCAAGACAGCATAATTACTGTCAAATAATTTACGATTGTAATTATATATTGGTCATCAAAGTTGCGTCCGCGGGCCATTGGTACCATTACCACTCGACTGCTTCGCCCCCACCAAAGCCCCAATTTCGGTTGTAAATGGATCTCTGACACTACTCTCATCGGCCTGGCTATTGGTATCATAACTCGAGAAATTGTTTGAATGTGGTGATTCAGCATAAACATGATCAAGGTCGTCATAGCTTACGACAAGAATATCAAGTTCCTCCAAGATTTCGGTCACTGCAAGCCAGACTTCCGATTTGAGCATGGCGTATTTCCGCGCGTCCAACTCTTCAGTATAAGAATACACACGAATGGTGTAAAGTTCCTCCATAGCGACGAAAAAGAAACGGTTCCACTTTTCTCCATGCCGCAAATCTGACTGATTCTCTTCATGCGATGTCAGTCCAACATGCAAAGACTGTAACATAATTTCCAGGCGATGTAAAGCTTGTCGTAACTTCTCCACAGGTGTCGCACATGACACCCGGACATGCAAGTCTACGTCTCGCTTTGGTCGTTGTGAGAAATTGATCATCGGCTTGTAAAGAAAAAAGCTGTTTGGTACATAAAGTGTCGTTCCTTCTAGACTCA